CCGCTCTTCTTCGACTGCGCCCCCGCCGAGCACCGAAGAGCATTGGGCTACTATTTAACATATTTAATAATATTATATATTTAATATATTTAATATTATTATTTATTTAATATATTATTATTTTAAATATTATTACATGTTTTTAAAAATTAAACCACCAAACGCAGTTTCAGTTTTTTTTTAAAACTGAAATCAATCTTTGAATAAAACTACCAAACGCATTTTAAAAAATAATTCTTAAATGAAAATGAAAACGTTTTCATTTCCATTTTTATACATAAAACAAAATCATTTTGAAACCAATTTCAAACGCACCTAAAAAGACCATTTTCAATCTCATTTTCAATTCCATTAATACACCAAACGCGGTTTGGAAATCAATTCCATTTTCGGTGCCTCAATTTTCGTGAAAGATTTTTGAAACTTTAAATTATTTATATCATGTTCATTTCATCGAATTTAGAATTTGAGTTCTGTTATATTAAAAAATTTTCAGAAACAGTCACATCTAATTTTTTTATTACAGTAAAAAATTCTCACATAAAGTCGCATCTTAACTCGAATCAACAAACTAAACAGTTCCTTATTTTCTTAAAAACTTTAATTTATTTCAAAAATTATAAACATGATTATTGCTGTTAAATTTCACAAATTATTTGTTAAGTTTTAATATCCATGATTAAAGGTCAAAACTGTAAGAAAACAAAAGTTCGAAGAGTAATCTAATAAAATTAAAAATTTAGGGACCATATTATCTCAATGTGATAATAATAAATTAAAAAAATTAAGATTTTTAACAGTGACAATAAAAAATTAAAAAAATAAAAAAAATAAAAAAAGAGGAAAATTTCTGTCTTTCCCCCTTCTCCTCCCTCTCTGAAAATCCCTCTCAAACAAGAACAAGCCCTAAATCTCTACATTAATCAAAATTACCGCTTTCCCCTTCCCCGTCCCGTCGCCCTTCCGCCGTGCGGTCGCCCTGCCCACGTGCCGTCTCCCTGCCGCCGTGCCGTCGCTGAGTTCGAGCTTTGGCCGCAATTGGGGAGCTTCGGAGTTAGACGGACGCACTAAGCACCATGCGCAAGTTGGCAGCTCAACTCTCCACTGTAAGCTTCTACTTTCTTCTTCCTAAAATTGAGATTTCTTTTTAATCACTATTTACTACAATTTTCTTCTTCTTCTTCTAAGAATGAAAACCAATATTTTGAGAGATGAATTTTGCGATCCATATGCAGTATTATTACAGAAGAAACACTGTACCTGTACGCATTGCCCAGCCACGAAATTTGTCATCCCTCAATGGAAAAGGTTTATGGCTCTTGTCCTTTTAATCATTGGCCTCGGTTTTTTATAAATAACCACCTATTAAGTGACTTTTTTTTTTTTTTGAGAAAAATAAAAATTGAAAACTTATGATTGCACAATTTGCACTCTTCGGAAGCAAATGAAAAATAGAGAACTAATTAAACAGAAATCTTTTTTTTTTTCTTTTTTTACAAGAGATAATTGAACGAAATGGGAAATAAAATCTTGAACATTGAAATTATTTTACTTTGCAGATGAGGTCGCCCTTGAACAAGACGCTGAAAGAAAAATAGGCTGGCTGTTGAAATTGCTTTTTGCTGGGACTGCCACGGTTATTGGTTACCAGTTCTTTCCATATATGGGTCTGTAGAGTTATCTTTCTAACCTTTTACTCACGTATGTTTATTAAAGTTTCTTTTTTTTTTTTTTGGACTTACAAGATTTTGCTGTGTATTATGCAGGGGATAATTTGATTCAGCAGTCTGTGTCACTTTTACATGTGAAGGATCCGTTGTTCAAGAGAATGGGAGCCTCAAGACTAGCCCGCTTTGCTATGGATGGTGACTTCTTTTTCTGTATTTCTCTGTATGCAAAATGTATAGGAAGAGGAAAATGATACTTGCATATGAGGAAACTAAAATTTAACTCGTTGGAGTATATGAACGTGGACTAAACAGCAATTTTACTTTCATGGAACTCGAATTTTTTCCGGATGTGTATTATTGCATGAAAAGGTAAAGGAAAAGGAAAATGTGCATACCTACTGTGTTTGGATATTGAGATTGTTTTTAATAAAGCAGAACACCAGGTGATGCCTCAGTGTTTACTTCTCATTTGGTTTTTTGGTTCGCCCCATTCTGATGTAATATTAAAACTATTCATGAATTTATCCGTTAATGCTGTTGCTCTCTTGCCTTCCTAGTAGTGGGGAGAAATTGGTAGTGTTGTACTGTTGTGTGTGTGCTATCAGTGTGTTTTGCGTTATAGTGAAATTGGGTTGTGCGCCAAACAGCTAGTGATTCTTTTTCGTCCAGAGAAAAAGGAAAAAGAGTTGTTAATCCAACTATCCAAACTCTGGATCTTAGTCATGTTGGTTGATTGGTTAGTTTTTCCTTAATGAATTTTCAAGCTTAACTTAGTTTTGGATTCATAATGTTTTCTAATGTAAATAAATTGCGTTTTTTCTTTTTGTGTAGATGAAAGAAGGATGAAAGTAGTGGAAATGGGTGGTGCTCAAGAGCTTTTAAATATGTTGGAGGGTGCTAAAGATGACCGCACTCGGAAGGAAGCTCTGAAGGCTCTTTCGGCCCTCTCGCGCTCAGGTCAGACTTTTAGTTTGCAGCTGGGGCTATATCTTTTATACTAGTCTCTGCTCCTGATTTCCTAAACTTGTTTTATTTTAAAGTATGTCCAGTTGTCCACTTTAAACACTCGGAAATCATATTATGTTTTTTTAAGTATTTGTAAAAAGAATGACTAGCTTGTACAACTACCACCATGCTTAGCGTGCTCAGTTGGATTGGCTTGTGCATCTTTCTAGTCATAGGGTCTTTTACTCCATTTTGGTTGGAGGAATATACAAACCCGTGTTTTCATCCAGATGGTTCTCTGTGTATTGGTTCTGATTCTGAAATTAACTTGACAGCTTCAATAAATATTATTCCATTATGTTTAGTATAGAATCGACACTTTAATAGTCGTTATTTCAATTTTCTTTTCCATTTCCGTTTCTTGTATTGCAGGTCAAGCTGCTGAAGCTTTACATAATGCTGGAGCGATTGCGATTATCAGTTCTACTCCAGATTCCTCGGAGGATGTTGAAGTTGAGAAATACAAGGCTAGCTTGTTGCAGAGATTCCAAGATCTGAAGTATGATGTTTTACCTTGAGATAAGGGAAGAACTCTTTTAACGGTTTACAGTGGGTTACAAACACTAAGAAGCATACTAAACGACGGGTACTCAAACATTTGTATAAGATTGGCATACAAAGGTAACTCTGTTTTCAACATGTCTCGTGCCGTTGACTGCCTATTTAATTTTTTCATTCTGTCACCCAAAGAATAATTTTTACTTCAGGTAGATTGCACTCATCGCCTTGAATATTAGCTAATTCCCTGCTCAAACGCCTAGCAAAAAAATTCTGTTTCTTCATGTCTGCTGTCAAATGCTCGTAAAGATAATAAGGATTATTTTGCTTCGTTAACTAATGGCCAATCTATTTATTGTCTTACGATTTTATGTCGTTTTTGTCTGTATTAGTATAACTGCTGTCCTTTGTTTTTTGACCCTTTTTTGTCGTTTTCCCAAGAACAGAGGATATAAATCTTTACCACGGTTAAGATATTTTCATTTCAACTCTTTTTTTTTTTTTTTGAGTTTAACTTTTTCAAATTGCATACTGTTTTAAATTTGTTTTGGAAATGCTAACGTTTTTCATCAAACGCTTTTCTTTTAATGTTGTCGTTTTCTATTTTTTCTGGCGTTTATAAGATATCTTTAGTTTCAAGTTTGTCTTTTTACGAAGTTGCCGTTTTCTATTTTCTCTGATGTGGACAAGATATAATCTTTTTCAGGTTTTTGTTGTTTTATTTTTTATTTTTTATTAGTATTTTTTTAGGGGGTTTCTGTTGTTTTAGGAAGTTGTCGTTTCAAGTTGTACGTCGTTTTCAGCAAAAATATTGTATGTCGTTGTTGTTTGTTGTTGTCGCTTCTTAAATATTGCCCTTTCTTAACCGTATGCCGTTCTCCTTCATTGTTGGCGTTTTTAGTCACTTGTTGTTTATCAATGTTGTTGTTTATTCATTTAATGCTGTTTTCACTCGTTGTTGTAGTTTATGGCTTGGTCATTGTGGTCATTTACAAGTTGTGGGGACTGGGGTTTGTATTGTTGGTATCGTTGTTTTATATCTTGTCGTTGCTCATCTTTTTTCTGTTGTTCGCCTTAGTCGTTTCCACGATTGAAGGATAATAGCCTCGGGAGTCTTGAACATGAGGAGGTCCTCGCTGTCGCTTCATATTTACTACATGGTCTCTCTTTTTCCACTTCCATTCAAGCCGTATGGTAACAAAAGAATTAAAAACAAGATTTAATCTCATTGGTACCTCTTGAATTTTAGTGTCATTTCCACTTTGTTTTTTAAATTTTGAAACTCTTATTTCGTTGCTTGAATTTTGAATTAGTCTCATTTAAGCCTTTTTATAAGAATTTATGTTAAAATCAGACTAAAGAAAACATATTAAGTATGGTCATTTGATTTTTATCAATTTGCTTTTAATAGATATCCAAACAAAAAGATTACGTGATTACATTACTCTTTTTTTTAATATATATGTTTTTAAATTAGAAATGAGCTCAAAGTTTAGAGACACTAGTTATAATAATCTTAATAGCTTACCTCTTAAATTTTAAAAATTCTCATTTTACCTCATGAATTTTGAATTAGTCCTATTTAAGCCTTTTTGTATGAATTTTTGTTAAAATCAAATTGGAAAAAGAGGGGTTAATTATGGTGATATGATTTTTATCCATTTCCTTTTAACGAATATTCAAACAGAGAATTTAATTGCAATAATCTCTTTTTTTATATATTTGTTTAACAAAAATTTTAACAGACGAAGTTAAATGAGAGTAGTTCAAAATTTAGGAAGTAAAATAAGAATTTTTAAATTTTGTGGGACAAACCGAGAATGGTCTTAATTTTCAGGGAGCAATAGTGATAATAATGCAATTATAGATAGACTTCATTGGCCTTTGTTTTTCTCCCGTCCAAAATGCACGCTGATCATCACAGAATTACGTTGGTTAATTCTATTCATAAATACATTTGTTTGGCTAATTGATTAATAAACAGTGTTTTTTTTGTCACATGTGGATTCATGTCCAGAAGCTATTTTATTAGATAATCTTAATAAATACTCTTTGAAAATGCATGAGTTAAGATTTTTACTTTTTATTCTTGATTCATAACCTTTTTAATTAAATAATTACACTAATAAAATAGTATTTATCAAGAATAAAGGGTAAAGGTCTCAAGAGTAAATTCTCTATTTTTTCTATCTTTTATCTCATACAAAACCATAACGAAGATAGAAGCTCACCATCTTACAAACAACAAACCAAGTACCAAAAAAAAAAAAAAATTATGACTTGTTTCCAAAGGAATTATATATATTTATCGAAATTGCAATTATGCTTGTGACTACTGCCGAGACTATCATTATTGTTGCCAAGATCCTATCCTTTCTTGTAGATATGCCATTTACATCCCTGTGGACAATCACATAACAAAAAGGAAAATGAGAACTAAATTAAGCATTGTTTTAAGAGAGAGAGAGAGAGAGAGAGAGAGAGAGAGAGAGTAACATGTTACCTGAGAGCAATAGCGCCAGGAAATATAAAGGCAAGGCAAACCGCAGAAGTTGATCCCAGAAACTGAAAGATGTACCAAATGTTTGGGAATGCTATTGCTGCTAAGTATGAGAAGACCAATAAAACAAGTGTGATGATCACAAATCTTTTGGTGTCATTGACCAAAAGGATCTTCTCAGGGAACAAAAATTCATCTATATTTGCCCTCAAAGAGAAGTTGAGTAGAGGAAAAACTAGCATAAGATGAAGTGCATAACTCAACCGAACAGCATCATTTAGCACTGAACCCGTTGCCGTATCAGAACTCTTATCAAAATTGACGAGTATGTCTGTCATGATTGAGTCTCCAAACAAGAGGTACCCAAATAGGCCAACGGCAAAGTAGATCGCCGCACAAAGCACGAGCGCAATTCGCACGGCTTTGACCATGTCGGACGGCTTCCCCATCTCGAAACCGATTGGATGAACTGTGAGGCATTGTTATGTTCAATTCAATATTAGGCATTTGTTTAGCCAAAAATGACACAAAATTTGTAAATGTTTTCTTAGTCTTACCATTGAAATGAAAAGTGAAGGCCGTGACGATGACTGGGACGGCAGTAAATAGGTCAAAGAAGGATGTTTGTTGGTCCAATTCAGGAATTAATCTTGGATTCTTGGTTTTGCCTTGGACTAAAGCTATTATTGCCATCACAGAACATATTGCAACAAAGATAACAGCAAGGAGAACCGATACGGCCGAGCTAAACCTCAATGATTCTGTAAAAGACGCCAAAACCCATTTGACAGAATATGAAAAATATCAGCAAAAACATATAGTTTTATGCTTCAAAGTTTTACCATACACCAAACTCAAGTAATCAAAATTGCATAGTTTTATGATGCTTCATTTATTTGCTTGTCACTACTTACCCACACGTCGGAGTAAAAGCAACGGAAGCATAATGAAAACGACAGTAAATAAGATGGAAAATTCACGCGAGTTCCACCAGTGGATCCCAAACCATTCTTGCAAAACGCCCAAGTGTACACTTCCTTCTGGCTTACTTCCAGAAAGAACATCCCCTGAATAATAAAAATAAAAAATAATTACAACAAAAAAAAAAAAAAAAAAAAAAAATCCCCTTAAAAAAAAAAAAAAAAAAAAATTTAAAAAAAAAAAAAAAAAAAAAAAAAAACCAGCAAAAATTTGGTGGACAATAAAGTGTTGGTGGGGAAAAGTAGTAAATAGAAAACCAGCAAAATCAAACACGTGAAATTAATGGTTGTGAACAAAACGAAACAAAATTAACTTCATACTCAGAATCAAAAGTTAATGTTAACATATGACGAAAACCAAAGACAAGAACTTTTATTAGCTTACCGATAATAATAAGGTACATGATCAAACATCCAAAATTAGTGATCATCACACATATTTGTGTGGCCACGGATCCCACCTGGCCAAAGGACTCCTTCATGACGCCGCCGTAGGTCGTGGCGTCCCCGGAATGCGTAAATCTCATCAAGAACTCCACCGAGATGTCTACCAACAAGCCAACGATTACAATCAGCACAAAAGCTGGTATTACGCCCAAGACTTTTAGTGTCGCCGGAATTGACATGATTCCGGCGCCGATTATGCTCGTCGCGACGTTGAACACCGCTCCGGATATCGACGCGGGCTTCGCCTGCTGCTTGTCATGGTTCGGAAGGAGTGGCACGTGTACTCCAATCGCCGGCGACATCCCGGCGTTGATGGAAAATGTTCTGGAGTGGCTGGTTAAGAGGTTGTGCAGGACTTGTTCTCTGTACTTTAAATAGGGAATTAGACACCACTGACCACTTTGTGTTGGTTTATTTACCAAAATAACCTTTGATAATTATAGATAATAATTGCATTTTGCTAGTTAGTGGTAGGGGTAAGATTGGAAATGTTGAGGGGAAACTGTTTAGAGGATCTCAATCATTGAAGGACAGCTTGGATTGGGGTGATAAATTGGTAATATTCTGGACCATGATGTGCGTGTACATACGTTATGTCAAAAACAGAATAGGAAAATGTATCTGGACCATGAAGCGGCTTATGTGACGGCTGTTTTAAATACCAGGAAATAATATTTGGTTAGGAAAATAAGTATCGCCAAATTTGAATTTTTCTCGAGCAGATAATAAACATTTCCCAGCTTACCATATAGTACATCTTAAAACTAGATCTAATCTTTCATAATAAAAAAACTATATTTAATCTTTAGAGTCCAATTAAAATTAAATCATCTTTACCAATTTCTTAGATTAGTTTCTTTGGAATTCTTTACTGCGGAGAGTGAAATTGAAGAAAAAAATTAAGTCTTACAATTTATAATGTTTCATCTAATATGATAATTACGTTCTCTTTTAGTCACTGTAAACTTTTACTACAATAAATATATATATATATATATATATATATTTATAATCACGCCCGTCTAGCTTCTAAGACTCTCTGGATTATCTATCTAATCCTCACTGCCAAAATCGAACACCCTCAATATAAGTATAAATAGGCCAGAAAAATACATGAGCGAAAAATCTAAATTTCCCTTTTAAAAATTTGTGGTCATAATTAAATTGATTTTCATTCTACATCAAATTAAGCTTCATGATCAGCTCTACATACGCTGGATCTAGATTAGCAACCAAGAAAAAAAGAAGAAAAAAAAAAAGAGACAAGAAGATTTCATTCAAGCATGGACCAGGGACTAGGGGTGTTCATAAACCCGAACAACCCGCAAACCCACCCCGCACCGCCCCAATCCAACCCGAAAAAAGCAACCCGCAACATTATTTTTTAATTTTCGGCCCATTAGACCTCTGGCCCGAAGTGTTTGGGGCGGGTTGTGGGTTGGGCTCATAACAACCCGCAACCCCAACCCAACCCGCAGAACACATCCCCAGTTCGGCCCAACCATTAATATTACTTCCAGTTCCAGGCCCAGCCCACGCCAGGAATCACTCAGTCCTGAATTTCAGGCTGCCCACTCCCAGCAGGCCTTCGGCCCATTCAATTCATTACCGCATTACTTTAGGCCATTAGCCATTAGGGCAGAGTCTCTCACACAGTCATACTCCCTTCCCTCATCATTTCACAACTCTCTCGTGTCGTGTCTCCCTCCGCGCGGCCGCCCCCTCTCGGCCTCTCCCCTCAAGCCTTCGCCCTTCAGTCTTCTCACAACTCCCCCCCGCAGATCGACCTTCAGACTTCAGTCTTGGACTCTCAGCCGCCCCTCTCGTGTCTCGTCTCAGAATCGGAGGTAACCTCTATCTCTCTCTCACTTCGTGTCTCGGACTATCAGCGGCCGCCCCCTCTCGGCCTCTCAGTCTTCTCACAACTCCCCGCAGATCGACCTTCAGACTTCAGTCTCGGACTCTCGGCCGCCCCTCTCGTGTCTCGTCTCAGAATCGGAGGTAACCTCTATCTCTCTCTCACTTCGTGTCTCGGACTATCAGCGGCCGCCCCCTCTCGGCCTCTCAGTCTTCTCACAACTCCCCGCAGATCGACCTTCAGACTTCAGTCTCGGACTCTCGGCCGCCCCTCTCGTGTCTCGTCTCAGAATCGGAGGTAACCTCTATCTCTCTCTCACTTC